ATCAGGTCATATTCGTAACATTTTGTTGTCTCTGGTTTGAACAGTGTAGCAGAGAAACAGATAATCAGTGTTTGAAACATACACCAAAATAATCTCTCTATTAAAAAGTAGTAAATATGACTACTCATAAATATAAGCTAACCCTTGATCCATTACAGCGCTACGGAATTTGTTGGCACTTTATAAATAATAATAATAATGAGCATGTCCCCCCACCTCCATACCCCTTTTTTTTTCTCCTTCTTCCATACCGTAAAGAGCAAGTTAAATTTCCTCTCAATTATGTTCACCCTTTACACATGTTAAAATCAACCACATAATAGTAACATGGATGTGTAGCGGTTTATTTATACTGAAATGCATATTGTGTAAAATTTACTGTCTCAACAAAACCGCAATGAACATACTGTACTATTTTTGTAAACCGTATGTTTTTCTATTTTGTGCTTTATTGTGATCAACAGATAAAATACAGTTTCGAGAAAAAAATGATCTCTGTTAACCAATTAAGTACTGAGCTGATAGCCGATTCTCATATTATACTAGAATACTGTCTCTCCTCTGTTACAGACACGGGTCGATCATTATATCTCACTCATTACAAACAGGTTGAAAGCTTTCAGGGCCAAGTAAGTGATTAGTGAAATTCTCTATAAAAAATATGAAATACGAGTTTATGAAATATCTGTTGTCTCTTTGTTAAATTTGTTTGTCTATCTAATAACGTAATCTATCATTATCTATCATCCTAAAATATCCCTGTCTGTTAATGAACTGTTGTCCGTTAACTAGAACTCATTGTTTAGTGAATAAATCTTAGTTAGAATTATGCCATTATACATGATAACATAGTACACTAAGTACACGTACTCATTAATGCAAATTTCTATTCATGATTCTAATGCCTAAAGGAATCAAGACGTGGTAGTTTGAATATTTCAGGAAATGCAATTATTTCGGGGGATTTTCACACCCAATATTCTCAGGTTTATAGAGGGCAGCGTTCATCCCTGTTCTGGGGTGATGGAGGGTCATACCCTGTTTTGTAAAAGTTTATCTAATAAAGTGACCACTTAATACGTTATTCAGAAATGACATGCAGTATTACATCTACGCCACTAGATGTCAGAGTTTCAACCATGTAGGGACAATTTTAACCTCTTTAGGACTTCATCTTACACGTTTTTAATCATCTCATTTCCTTGTAGACCCTAGGCCAAAAAAATAATTTTCTATTTATTTAGCTTTGGCACGTCTCCACATCCCCACAGAAAGAAACTGTGTGGGTCATTCCATTTTCGAATAGGTTCCTTAAACAACAAAGTGTTCTGATGGTTGAGCCCATCATTGGTACCTAAGGGGTCAAAGTAATTTATTACGTGATAAACTATTTTATTTTATTACAGTCATATAATGTAGCGTTACTTACCTTAACCGGGGGCCGGTCGCGGTCCTCTCTTCAAGCCGCGCGCGGTCCTGCGGCTGCACGAGCCGCGCGCGGCTCATCCAACTGCTTTGGATGGAAGGCGGGCAGTGACCGCGTGAGGCGGTCACGTGTCTCGCCTGAAACTAAGAGCGCGCCGCGAGTCTCGGGCGCGCTCTTAAAGAGACAGTGGGAGCCTAATTGCTAAAAGGCTCCCATTGGCTCCTGTCATACCACACTCCCTGTACAATTACCTATAGGGGGTGTGGAAGTGACAGGAGCCAATCACTTTCGTTTTAAAGCTATTTAAACTTACCTTTTTCCCTTAGCTCGTTGCCCTATCGTGGTTTCTGTCTCAGTTCCCTTTAGCGCTTGTGGTGTTCAGTTGTGTTTTCTCGTATTGACTTTGGCTTCGTATTCTGACTTCGTTTTCGCTTTATCCTTCTCTGTACTGTTTGCCGGCTTGCTGTTTTCCGTGTGCCCTTGACCTCGGTTTGTTCCTGGCTCTGTCTCCTCTCATATACGTCGAGTCCGGCCATTCTAAGGTCCGGTAGACGTATCTCTCCTCTGTATTTGCCTCTGTTTTGCTGGATCCTGCGTGTAGGGGTATATTCACGTTACATTACGATAGGGCCATGGACCCCGCAGATTTAGCTCAACAGATGGCGTCCCATGAGGCAAGATTTGTAGAGCAGGATCACCGTATGGATCAGATAGCTCAGGCTCTCCAGACGCTCCTAGCTAGAACCGTTCCAGCAACCACACCTAACCCTCCTATGCCCCTTCTCCCTGAAGTATCTACTTTGCCTAATACTTCGGCCCATTTAACACCTCCTCCTAGGTATGGAGGGGACTCTAAGACTTGCAGAGGGTTTATTAATCAAATTGAATTCCACTTCGAAATGTATCCACGTTCATTTCCCACAGAGGTCTAAGGTTGGGTTCTTTATGCACCAACTTACCGATAAGGCACTTGAGTGGGCAAATCCTATTTGGGAAGCTAATGGACCTATGGTACATGATTTCAACAGTTTTCTTACGGCTTTTCGTAGAACTTTTGACACAATGAAAATGTCAAAGAATGCCGCGAGAGCATTAATGAGAATTAAACAGGGTTCTAGGTCTGTGGCTGATTATGCTATTCAGTTTCGCACTCTTGCTTCGCAGGTAGATTGGACCAACAATGGATTAACTACTGCCTTTATGGAAGGTTTGTCTGATACGATATTGGATGAGGTAGCAGCTAAGGAGCTTCCTATTGCCTTAGAGGACCTTATCGATTACCTCATTGATATAGATAATAGAATTCGTGACAGGCTCTATACCAAGAACAGGAATAGACGTTTTGTTACACCCATTAACCCCAGAGTTAATATACCAGAGAGTGTTAAAGTGTCTGAGGAGGAACCTATGCAAGTAGGGGTTGCCAAACTCTCTGATACTGAGAAATTACATAGGAGAAGGGAGGGACTCTGCCTATACTGTGGTAGGAGAGACCATATGGTAAAGGAATGTCCTTTACTCCCGGAAAACTCTCGCACCTAAGACCTTATAGGGGACTGGCCTTGGGTGTGATATCTAAATTGCCTCCTAACCGCTTGCTTCTCCCGGTTTCTTTATATATGGGAGAGATTTGTATAGTTGACAACATATATGCTCTGGTTGACTCTGGGGCAGCTGAAAATTTTATAGACTCTGGCTTTATAAAGAGAAATAACATTCCCATCAGAGAGAAGGAGATACCCTTGGCCGTTGAGGCCATAGATGGTAGACCATTAAGTTCTCCAGTTGTTACTCATGAGACTGTACCATTACACATGTACACAGGGGTTTTACACTATGAAACCATTCGATTCCAGGTCATCATCTCTCCCTCTTCACAGTTAGTATTAGGGTATCCATGGTTACGTGCTCACAATCCCATTTTTGACTGGGAGACAGGGCAAATAAAATCATGGAGTGAGGCCTGCCACGAGTCTTGTACGTTGGAAGTCACACCCATATGATCTGCCATATGAACTAGTGCCAGTGCTGCACACAGTGTGTGTTTACATTAAAAAGCCTGCAGGGACAAACTATAGAAACCAGAACAACTTTATTAAGCTGCAGTGGTTCTGGGGACTATAGTGTCCATTTATTGTGAGGTACCTACCAGTCCTCCTTTGTCTACGGTTATACCCCCTCAGTATTTATCTCTAAAGACTGTTTTCGATAAAAGGGAGGCTGAGAAATTACCGCCTCACAGACCCTATGATTGCGCTATTGACTTGTTGCCTGGCACTATACCTCCAAAGGGCAGGGTGTACCCCTTATCGGTTCAAGAAAACCGTGTCATGGAGGAGTATATAAAGGAATCACTAGAAAAGGGGTTTATTAGGAGATCCTCTTCTCCAGCTGGAGCAGGGTTCTTCTTTGTATCGAAGAAAGAAGGTGATTTAAGACCGTGTATAGATTATAGAGGTCTAAACAAAATCACTATCAAAAATGCATACCCTATACCTTTAATTACAGAATTATTTGACAGGCTGAAACATGCCACTGTGTTCACTAAATTAGACCTTAGGAGTGCATACAATTTGATACGTATAAAGGAAAATCACGAATGGAAGACTGCATTCAACACTAGATCCGGTCATTACGAATATACTGTTATGCCATTTGGGCTTTGCAATGCCCCAGCAGTATTCCAAGAATTTATTAATGATGTCTTAAGAGATTTTATTCACACATTTGTTATCGTATACTTGGACGACATTTTAATATATTCTACAGACATACACACTCATCACAGACATGTTACGACAGTTTTGAAGACCCTTCTTGCTAATGGTCTTTATTGCAAGCTAGAAAAATGTCTGTTTGACCAAACCGAAGTCCAGTTCTTGGGGTATTTGATTTCCGCTAAAGGTTTTCGTATGGATCCCCAGAAGCTTGCTGCTGTAATAGAATGGCCTCTACCGCAAGGTCTGAAAGCTATTCAGCGTTTTCTTGGGTTCTCCAATTATTATAGACGTTTTATCAAAGGTTTCTCGTCCATTGTAGCACCTATTACCCGTATGACTAAAAAGGATGGCAATACTCGTGTTTGGTCTACCGAGGCACTTCAGGCTTTTGAATTTCTTAAAACTACGTTCGCCTCTGCACCTATTTTACAGCATCCTGTCCCCTCACTGCCCTATATTCTTGAAGTTGATGCTTCGGATATTGGGGTAGGTGCTGTCTTATCCCAAAGAGAGTCGCCTGAAAAGCCATTGCATCCATGCGGCTTCTTTTCTAAACAAATGTCCAAAGCAGAGAAAAATTATGATGTGGGTAATCGCGAACTCCTTGCTATTATTTTAGCACTTAAAGAGTGGAGACATTTGTTAGAAGGAACTAAGGATCCTATCCTCATTTTTACGGATCACAAGAACCTATCCTACCTTAGCGAAGCCAAAAGATTGTCTTCCAGGCAGGCTAGGTGGTCACTATTTTTGTCCCGTTTCAATTTTATTATCACCTATAGGCCAGGTGATCGCAACACTAAAGCAGACGCTCTGTCCAGACAGTTCGAAACTACTGACAAACAGGAGATTGATGTTACTCCTGTCATTCCCCCAGACAGGATAATAGCTACTACTATTTTGTCTATTTCCTCGTCCCTCTTGCAGGCCATACAAGCGAAACAAAGCATGGCACCTAGCGAGAGGCCTAATGATAAACTGTTCGTTGATGTTCCTGAGAGACGGGATATTATGTCATTATATCATGATACTAAGACTGCTGGACATCCTGGTATTTCCAAAACGGTGTCAGCTGTTTCTCGGTATTTTTGGTGGGATTCCTTACGAAAGGATGTCACTGACTATATAAGTGCTTGTACTACTTGTGCCTGTATGAAATCCTCCCGTAGAGTTCCTTGTGGGCTGTTGCATCCGTTACCCGTTCCCGAGAGACCTTGGTCTAACCTGTCCATGGATTTTATTGTTGAATTACCCCCTTCAAATGGTAACACAGTAATCCTGATGATAGTGGATCGGTTCTCCAAAATGGCTCACTTCGTGTCTCTTCACAAGTTGCCCACATCCAAGGAACTGGCTCATATCTTCGCTAGAGAAGTATTTAGATTACATGGGATTCCCGTATCTATTGTATCCGATAGGGGTAGCCAATTTATTTCCAGGTTCTGGAGGGCCTTTTGTTCAGAAATGGGTATTTCTCTCTCATTTTCTTCCGCTTATCATCCCCAGTCTAATGGGGCTGCTGAACGTGCCAACCAGTCTCTGGAGCAATACCTCCGTTGTTTTGTGTCTCACCATCAGGACAATTGGTCTGACCTGCTTCCTTGGGCTGAATTTGCTCGGAATAACGCCACTCATGATTCTTCCGGCAAGACCCCTTTTTACGTTGTCTATGGCCAGCATCCCGTTGTTCTTCCGGCTGCATTCTCCTCACAGGGCATGCCAGTTCTGGATGAGCATTTGGCTGGTTTGCGTAATACTTGGGAGCAGGTTCAGCGTTCTTTGGTGGACTCTGCTACTCGCCAGAAGGCTCAGGCTGACAAGCATCGCAGAGCAGCTCCGTCCTATGTTGTGGGGGACAGGGTTTTGCTTTCCACGCGGAATATTCGTCTCCGGGTGCCTTCTATGAAATTGGCTCCCCGCTTCATTGGACCTTATCGTATTATACATAAGGTTAATCCTGTTTCTTATGCCTTAGGCCTGCCTAAGAATCTACGTATTCCTAATGTTTTTCACACCTCATTGTTGAAACCTTTCGTACGCAACCGCTATACCCGGCATACTCCTCCTCCCCCTCCTATCTCGGTGGAGGGTCATGAGGAGTTTGAAGTGTCTGCTGTTCTTGACTCTCGTTTCCTTAGGGGTCGACTTCAGTACTTGGTACATTGGAAGGGTTATGGGCCTGAGGAGCACAGTTGGATTTCGGCTGATGCTGTCCATGCTCCCCGTCTTGTGCGCTCTTTCCATTCTCGTTTTCCTGCCAGGCCTGGTCCTACCCGCCCGGGGGCGTGTCCTCAGGGGGGGTACTGTAGCGTTACTTACCTTAACCGGGGGCCGGTCGCGGTCCTCTCTTCAAGCCGCGCGCGGTCCTGCGGCTGCACGAGCCGCGCGCGGCTCATCCGACTGCTTTGGATGGAAGGCGGGCAGTGACCGCGTGAAGCGGCCACGTGTCCTGCCTGAAACTAAGAGCGCGCCGCGAGTCTCGGGCGCGCTCTTAAAGAGACAGTGGGAGCCTAATTGCCAAAAGGCTCCCATTGGCTCCTGTCATACCACCCTCCCTATACAATTACCTATAGGGGGTGTGGAAGTGACAGGAGCCAATCACTTTCGTTTAAAAGCTATTTAAACTTACCTTTTTCCCTTAGCTCGTTGCCCTATCGTGGTTTCTGTCTCAGTTCCCTTTAGCGCTTGTGGTGTTCAGTTGTGTTTTCTCGTATTGACTTTGGCTTCGTATTCTGACTTCGTTTTCGCTTTATCCTTCTCTGTACTGTTTGCCAGCTTGCTGTTTTCCGTGTACCAGACCCCGGCTTGTCCTAGTTTACGCTGTCTCTCTGTGCCCTTGACCTCGGTTTGTTCCTGGCTCTGTCTCCTCTCATATACGTCGAGTCCGGCCATTCTAAGGTCCGGTAGACGTATCTTTCCTCTGTATTTGCCTCTGTTTAGCTGGATCCTGCGTGTAGGGGTATATTCTCGTTACATATAATGACATATGTAATGTATTTCTTACAATTCATTATAGTTGTATAATTTGTAATGCTTTGGGCACCAATGACCATGGCCATGCACCACTTTTGTTAGGTCCAAACCATTATATACCTGGAACACTCCAAAAGACTTGGCGATTTGGAGATGATCGGATCCAGTCACCTAGCCATCACTATTTAGCCCTTGTCAGAGTCACTCAGATCTTTTCCCTTGCCCATTTTTCTGCATCCAGCAAGTGAAATTCAAGAACTGACAGTTCATATGCTTCCTCATATATCTCACCCCTTGACAGGTGCCATTGTGACAATATAATAATGTTATTCACTTCACATGTCAGTAGTTTTAATGTTCTGGCTGATCAGTGTATAAAGCAAAATAATTAAATTAAATTAAACTATAATAGTTTTGTTATATGTGAGTAATCCCAAATTTGAAGAGTTTTTCTATGAACACTAAAAGTTGAAATGTGGATATAAGCGTTATGAGAGGGTCTGCATTATAGAGACATTCAGTAAGTAGATCTATAGCGATAGGAGAAGAATAAATCCCAGATTATTAGTTTGAAAGAATGAAATAGTGGAGCAGAATTCTATCTGGGAAGTTTGTGTTTTCTTTCAGCCAGAATATAATTAGAATTCAGATCATGATTTGTGTTCAGAATACTCACATAGGAACATTATGTCACCTCTCCCTTGCTACTTAATGCCGTTTTCCTGGAGCAATATAAATTAAATAAGATGAAAACACAAATAAATTAATCAGTCGAAAGATTCACTATGCCAGGGACTGTGGACAACTGAAATTTAAAGGAACACTATAGGGTCAGGAACATGTATTCCTAACCTTATAGTGTTAAAACAACTATCTAGCCCCCGTCTCTGCCTGTGTCCTCCTAAAATAAGCAAAAGCTTACTTTTATTCCAGTCTGCAGCTGCTGGCTCTGCCCTTGATCTGCTTGCTAGGCTGACATCATCAGAAGTGATTCTCGGAGCTAATCACAATGCTTTCCCATATGATTGGCTGATACTGCAAAGGAGGCAGATCAGGGGCAGAGCCAGCACAAGCCAAACAAAGCTCTAGCCAATCAGCATCTCCTCATAGAGATGCATTGACTCAATCAGGACTGCCCCAGGAAGCACCTCTAGCAGCCATCTGAGCAGTGGCTAGTGTAGTTATCTCTAAGCTGTAATGTAAACACTGCATTTTCTCTGAAAAGACAGTGTTTACTGCAAAAAACCTAAAGGGAATGATTCTATTCACCAGAATGAATGCAATAAGCTGCAATTGTTCTGGTGACCCATGTAAAGGGAAATTAAAAATGTTAGTCCAAAATAGATGACCTGGTGAATTGCACTAGTAAAGTCCAAAATGAGCAATCCCCTTTTTCATTCAATTTACAAATGAACAAGTTGCTCTTTAGTTCTGGCAATTTACTATAAAGTTTTGTTATTAAATAAATAACATGTTTTGTTTATTTTTACAGTGTTCAGGTTCCACAGAAAAAAACAGGAGTCAAACAAAATTAAAGATTACCAATCGACTGCTCTCTTCATTAGTATCGTTTCCAGTCTTTCAATTCAGCACGAATAAGGACAACCAACTACCACTCCCATCACTCCTCCCTTCATTCATACCATATTCAAAGGTGGAATCCCTCTCCGTTTCTATGGTGAAATGGATTGCCTTGTCCAGGGATTAATAAATGAGAAAGGTTACAATGAGAATTCACATATTATTTCATTTAGTTAATTTTCTGTTTTTTCTGGTATTATAATAATAAAACTGTTTTCTTATTTCAAATTGCTGAGTTTGAGTATTGATGTGCAATTGTGCATGAGATTAGTGGTTTATCAGTACAATCCTCTTATAAATATATATTCAAAATCTATGAAAATATGAACGTCACGGTTATGGTGCTTTTAGAACACAGAAGACCCTTTTCATCCCACTATTATGGGACCCTCTGTTCACTGTCTTGTTAGACGTTCTAAATAGAATTTTGCAAAAAGATCTTCATGATAATATACCACTTGGCTCCAGAAACTGTTTGTGCCGAGAGGAATATGGTCCATAAAATATTATTTGCAAGACTTCCATGTCAAGTCAAATCCAGAACTGCCTACATGACAGATCTAGAAGATACAAAATATCTTGCGTTTCCTAGCTAAATATAAAGGTGAATAGATTGTGTCATATGGTTTGCCTCCCATAGATTCATCAAAAATAATAAATATAATGAAATAAAGGTAAAAATAATAAATGTAATGACATGGAAAATGTATTCAATTACTTTAAAATCTGATGCAGCTGATAAAGAAATATCTATCTGGTTTCTATGACTGGTCCATAATAATAGGATTAAAGAGGGTTTAAAGTATTCAAAAAGTGTTCAAAGTCTTTACTTGGAAATTATAGACCTCAACTTCTGTGGCTGGGAAAGTATTTAAAGGGATAATAGGCAGGAATTCACTGAGACGAATACTGTTATCAGCAATAATCAGTATGGTTTTATGAAACATAGGTCGTGTCAAACTACCTTAATTGCATTCAACAAAGAAGTAAGTAGAAGTATAGATCTGGGCGGTGGCGTACACATGACCCATGGGGCCCCGGTGCAAAAATTGATCCGTGGGCCCCCCTCCCGCGCCGAGTAAGCCAGCTTACTCGGCGCGCGTCGGGGCCGCAACACATGGCGGCGGGCACCTGGTCGCAGGGCTGCGACCCCACAAATGCAGTACACTGCACACACATCTAAAGGACCACTACAGACACCCAGATCACATCAGCTCAATGAAGTGGTCTGGGTGCCAGGTCCCTCTAGTTTTAACCCTGCAGCTGTTTCAGAGAAACGACTATGTTTCACTGAGGGTTAATCCAGCCTCTGGTGGCTGTCTCATTGACAGCCGCTAGAGGAGATTCCGCCATTCTCACTGTGAAAATCACAGTGAGAAGACACTGAACGTCCATAGGAAAGCATTGAGTAATGCTTTCCTATGGGCGGTTTAAATGCGCAAGCGCGCCTCTTGCTGCGCATGTGCATTCGGAGCTGAGAGGCGGCGAGATCCCCAGCGCCAAGGAATTCCGGCGCTGGAGGAAGGTAAATGCTGAAGACACACACTCTCACGAACAGACGCATACACACTACCAAACAGACACACACATTTACTAACAGAGACACACTCAGCGACACTTACATACACACTCACTTACAAAACATACACTTTCACTGACAAACACACACTCACTAACAGACATCAGACACACTCAGTAACAGACACACTCAGTAACAGACACACCCAATAACAGACACACCCAATAACAGACACACTAACACTTACACACACACTAACACACACACTAACACTAATACACACACACTAACACACACACTAACACACACACACACTAACATACACACACTAATACACTAACACACACACACACTAACACACACTAATACATGTTTTTTTTTTAAATTGAATCCCCCCAGCCTCCTTACCTTTTGGGGTGCTGGGGGGATTCCCTAGGGTCCAGTGGTGCTGCTGCTGGGCTCCTGGGCGGGCGGGCGGCTGTTTGGGTGGCTGGCGCGCGAGGGAGCACTTTCCCCTCAGTGCTTCCTCTTCAGCTCCCTCGCGCGCCGCGTAGGGATGCCGGAGCCGGAAGATGACGTCATCGTCCGGCTCCGGTATCAGTGCGGCGCGCGAGGGAGCGGAAGAGGAAGCACTGAGGGGAGAGTGCTCCCTCGCGCACCGGCCACCCAAACAGCCCGCCCACTGGGGTCAGCAGGGCCAGCCTCGGGGGGCCCTGAGGTGGCTGGCTCCTGGGCCCCCCAGGAGAAGAGGCTGGCCCTGTGGCTACATACCGGGTCGCAGGGGTGCGACCCTAGTATGTACGCCACTGGATCTGGGTGTTGCAGTGGATGTGATCTACTTGGATTTAGCCAAGGTGTTAGATACGGTTTCACAATAGATTAGTCTTCAAACTAAAAGAAATTGGCCTAGATGAAAATTCTTGTTCTTGGGTAGAACATTGGCTTAAAGATAAAGTAAAGAAAGTTGTCATTAATGGTACATTTTCAAGTAGGACAAAAGTGGTAAGTGGTATCCCTTAGGGTTCTGTGACTGCTTTTATTTAACATATTTATAAATTATCTGGAAATAGGCATTGGAAGCCATGTTTCAGTGTTTGCATTTGACACAAAACTATAAATTAATACAATGTGAGCAGGATATTGCTTTGTTGCAGAGGGATTTAGCTAGATTGGGGGACTGGGCACGCAAAAGGCAGATGAAATTTAATGTACAAAAATGAAAGTTTATCCACCTTAAAGGACCACTATAGTGCCAGGAAAACATACTCGTTTTCCTGGCACTATAGTGCCCTGAGGGTGTCCTCACCCTCAGGGATCCCCTCCCGCCCGGCTCTGGAAGGGGGAAAGGGGGAAAAACTTACCTTTTTCCAGCGCTGGGCGGGGAGCTCTCTGCCTCCTCTCCTCCTCCGATCCGCCCCGTTGGCTGAATGCGCACGCGCGGCAAGAGCTGCGCGAGCATTCAGCCGGTCGCATAGGAAAGCATTCATAATGCTTTCCTATGGACGCTTGCGTGCTCTCACTGTGATTTTCACAGTGAGAAGCACGCAAGCGCCTCTAGCGGCTGTCAATGAGACAGCCACTAGAGGATTTGGAGGAAGGCTTAACCCATTGATAAACATAGCAGTTTCTCTGAAACTGCTATGTTTATTAAAAAATGGGTTAACCCTAGAAGGACCTGGCACCCAGACCACTTCATTAAGCTGAAGTGGTCTGGGTGCCTAGCTTGGTCCTTTAAGGTAAAGAATGCACAAGCACCTTATACCCTAAATGAGAGTAAATTAGAGATAACAACACCTGAGAGGGATTTGGGAATTGGTAAAGACAACAAACTAACAACAATATGCAATGTCAATCGGCAGTTACTAAGGCCAGTAAGGTACTGTCATGCACAAGATGAAAATATAATGTTGTCTCTTTGAAATCACAGACAAGACCACACCTTGAATATGCTGTGCAATTTTTGGTACCTGTTCTAAAAAGTGCAGAGGTGGGCTCCAAAATTTATAAACCGAATGGAACATTTTACTTATGAAGAAATGTTAACAAATTTAAATCTCTTTATTTTAGAAGAATGGCGCCTCAGAGGGGATGTGATAGTATTGTACAAATATATTCGGGGCCAGTACGAATCTGTCTGGGAATCTATTCACAAACAGGACTATACATAAAACACAAGGTCACAAATTTAGACTGGAAGAAAGGAGATTAAGTCTATGTCAAATTAAGTTGTTTTTTTTACAGTAAGAACTATAAGAATGTTGAATTCTCTGCCTGAAGAGGTGGTTTTATCAGAGTCTACACAGATCCATAAACAGCAATTCAATGAATAGTTGCTAAAACATAATATTCAGAGATTTCATTTTTAATTAGTAGGGTAATAGCTTCTTGATCCAAGGAGATATCTGACTGCTAGTCTGGGGTCAAAACGGATTTCTCCCCCCCTAGTTTGTTGCAAAATTGGAAGCACTTCAAACTGGGGTTTTTTGCCTTCTTTTGAATCAACAGCAAAAACAGATGTGCATAGGCTGGACTTAATAGACGTATGTGTCTTTTCAGCCTCCTAAACTATGTGAAATAGTATCTAGAAATAATTATCCTTTAAAAAAATTACCTCGGGCTATATAGGGAATGTCGACTAGAAGATGTTTTCCAGAATGGGTGTAATCAGTCAGTAAGGAAAGATGTAGCCTGATGAGTGACTCTGGAGACAAAGAGAAATTATGGCAGTCATACGTTAGTCCCATCTTAGGTTTCAAACATGTTTTTGCTCACATTTTACAGGGAACCTATTCGATATGTATATCACACCAATCCCAGTCACAACTGACATCCAGAACCAAAATGCTAGCAGATCGCTTCTACATGAGAGATCTAGGTTCAGTGAGGAAAGTCCCTTCATATGGATTACTGGTTTGACTTACTCTTAGCAAGCTGCTATTTATACACAAAGAAACCAAATAAACTCTAAGACAGCTGAGAATGGAAAAAAACTGAGTTACAATGTGTATGAGACCTGAGTGTGGACTAACCAAAGCAAACTACAAAGTTTTTGGTCAAAACCAAGTTTAGTTCCAGTCATCGTCGTTAATCATAGATTCTCAAGGTTGATGCACCAAGATTGTTAGGTTAACATAAAACAAAATGGATGCATTTTGGAAAGTTCTGACCTGCCTATTTGACCCATGTTATAGAGGAGTAGTGGTGTTAAAGGACCACTATAGTGCCAGGAAAACATACTCCCGCCGGGCTGGATGGAGAGGAAGGGGTAAAACCTCTTTCTCCAGCTCCGGGCGGGGAGCTCTCCTCCTCCTCTCCTCCTCTTCGGCTGAATGCGCATGCGCAGCAGGAGCTGC